GGAGATCCGCAACAAGATCAAGTACCTGCAGTTCCTCCGCAAGCGGAAGCTGTCAAACCCGAAGCTTGGCCCCTTCCACCACCGCAGCCCCTCTGACATCTTCCTGCGTACGGTGCGCTCCATGCTGCCCCGCTACACCAAGCGCGGCCAGAAGGCGCTGCGCCAGCTCGTCGCGTACGAGGGCGTTCCCACGAATGTTGTGCGCACCGGTGGCCGTGTGGTGATCCCCAAGGCGCAGCGTCACTACTGCTACCGCGGCGAGCGTCCCTACACGGTGCTGGGCAACATGTGCAAGCACGTTGGCTGGAAGTACAGCGATGTGGTGAAGAAGCTCGAGACTGCCCGCGTGGAGAAGGCAACCCGCCACCACAAGAGGACGGAGAAGCTGCGCGTCGCCTGGAAGACCGCTCGCAAGGAGGCCCTTGCGAAGGTCTCCAAGAACAACCTGCAGGTGCTGAAGAAGTTCGGCTACGCTTAGTAGAAACTGCGAAGACGCCTATAGTGGTTGCTTGCGGACATCTTCTTGCGACATCATCACTGTTCCCGTTATTTTTCTGCGGCGACACCTAGGATTTTTCTTGTTTTTGTTTTACTCGTTTTCGAGACACGCGTAAGACGCGCCTCCTCTTTCTTGTTTGCTTTCCTGCTTTGCCTCGGCGGAGAAAGTCCGTTTGCTGGCAACGGCCCCCCATGCTCGTCTGTTGGCCGCGGCCGCAGCTTACATCCGTTTCTTTCTCACTCTCGCTTTCGCTCTCTGCGCCTGCGACGCACGCGCGCCTGTGGACCCTCCGCGGGAGCAACCAGCGCCGAGTCAAGTGCAAATAAGCTTCGGGGGCAGCAGCGGCGGGAATTGCTGGTGAGCACACGCAACCCCCCACCCACGCGCCAGGGCAAAAAAAAGAGGAAGAAAAAAGGAATAATAGTAAATAAACAAATAAATCGCAAAAGAAACAGAGGAGGTGGCGGCAAGAAGATGAGTAGGGCGCCACGCAACGGGATCACCTCGCAGCGGTACGCCACGTCGGAGAGAGGCGCCCCATACCAGCGTCAGCGCCCCTTAGCCCTCCCTCACGGCGGCAGCAGCGGGGGTGGTGGCGGCGGAAGCATGCCCTTAGTTCCGAGAGACAACAACGCCCGCGGCCCCAGGCGACTGACGTTTAACAACTTTGCCACTTTTAATGCACGAGAGAAGAAGTTACCGCCCGATGCAAACGCGCAGGTGGCGCCCAATACCAAGCTTTGGCAGTTGCAAGAGCGAGCTTCATTTTACTGCAACAAATGCCGACGGGACAATATCATCTCGGACACCATCGCCGTGGACGCGGTGCACCAGTTAATGCTCTGCACACGGTGCTTCATTCGTATCATTCGGCCCCGTTCGTACCGTCCCAGCCGGGTTGTACCCTTTCCCTCTCTTCTTTCGTGGCTAAACTACAAACCGGCAAAGGTGATGGAGATGTCTGAAGACATTTCTAGCCGCCCCGCTGAGGCTGTGGCACCGTCAGGCGAGCGCATCGCCAACCCAACCCTCTGTGGTGGGGATCGGCCCACACATTTTCAAAACCTCCCCGCCATAGCCATGAACACCGTGCCCTCCGCACGTGTCGGCGTAGTGATAAGTGGCAAAGGCCCAACATCAGCTCAGCAGCAGGATGACACGCATCCGTGTATCCGCGTTTGGGGAAGTTGTGTACACGGTGAAACGTGTATGTTTCGTCGTGCGCCGTACGACTTGTGCATCTGTTTTTTGATGGGTTTGTGCCCTGGGGACGAGGAGAAGTGTCGCCTTCTGCACCAGAAGGTCTTTAGCCTGCCGAATGCGGACGATCCGATGCCCACGCAGCGCCGGGCGGAGGACTCGGATGACGCGGAGAGCGCGTGGGGCAAATGGATCGCACGACGAAAGAATAGCCCAAATTCGGCAGAGTGGCAGTTGTGGCACAATGGGCCGGTGTTGGACCTTCTCAACGTATATGCCCCTCTGGTGCCCGAGGAGGAGAAAGAGGAGGATAAAGAAAAGCAGCGTGGCGGAAAGCCGGTGATCAAACTCAACTACGCTGACATCTCTGCAGCCCTCCAAGGGCTGAAGCAATAACACACGGCAGGAGTGAAGGAGGAAGAAGGAAAGCTGTGCAAACCTGGACGGCCTTTTTTTTTCTTGTCTTCAACTGTTCTCGCGGCGCTCCCTTTCATTTGTGTGTTCTTTGCGGTTTCTCCTCTCGCTCTCTCACACACACACACACACACCGTGAGTGGTAAACAAAGGAGGATGACGACATGAGAAATCAACATGCGGGATGCCCCTGACTGCAAAAACTCCTTTTTGTTTCTGCTTCCATCAGGCCTCTTTCTCTTCCCCCCACCCCACCTTATTTTTTTTTTTTCGTTTTGCTCTTCCAATACGCACTCAAGGCGCAAACCTGAAATATATATCTCTTGTGGTTTTTATCCCTTTGAAGGCTAATAGTTAGCTCCACGGTACGCCAGGATTTGTGCGTGAATGATCAGTGCGGGCTGCGTGGTACATGTTATTAAAGGCAAATAAAAGCAAAACATAAATGCGGCGGTGTATTCTTGTACGGGTGGCAAATCCCTTGCCATCGACCCTGCACGTCTCCGGCGGCAATAGCAACAGTAAACAGAAGGATTTTTCCCACCTCCGCCACACTGTTGCAGAACCGGCAGTTGACACGAATGCCGAGGCATATCGACGCTTGGCACACGAATTGACACTCTTGTCACAGGAAGAGTTTGGCCGTCGCCTCTATCGGTTTAGCCGAACAAATTTCGACCCCAACCACACGACAGCAGTCCACGCACATGTGTCTGAGCTGCTTTCACGGCGCGTGCAAGAAGCAACTGTGAAGTGTGTTCGTGAGTATGCCCAACTGGCGCACGTCGCTAAGCTACATAAGCTCTGCTTACAGGTCTACTACGCCCGCACGAGGGCTGCCACAGTCGTTGTCTCCGCGACGGAAATCAACGACATGAATGTTGGAAACTTTGCTGTCTCTGACTTTGTCGTCGACAGTGCGTATGCCCTGCGTAGTACGCCTGACCTGGTTAGGTTAGCTTCTGACTGCGTAAAGCACCTACAGCACGTACCATCCCTCGGTTGGGAAATGATGAGCGCCTTCTCCTTGGTTCGTGCGTTTTGGCGCTGCGTTTGTATTGCCTCAAACCGCGAAGGACGGCCGGATGCCGAGTCCAAGCAGGCCCTTCAGGACGCCGCTTACATCTATGATGAATGCATGGCGTTGGTGTACCCCGATTCCTGTGAGGAGCTTAGTACACAAGATGCCATACACAGAGTCCAGCGGTTTGTGCAATATGCTTCTTCCGCCGATGAAGGAGAGATGCTTTTTTTTCGTTTCTGCCTTCAGAAAGGGTTTCTTCGAAGACCACGCGATGCAGTGCGTGGAGGGGGCGACGATAAGGGAACTGGGACAAACGTCAGTGGCGCTTTTGAAGGCGGAAGAATCACAGAGGAACAGTGGTTCTACGCGAGTCTCATCGCAACTTGCCGCGCTGGAAACCACGTGGATTCTGCACTCCAATATTTTGACGACATTGGATCCTTCCTTGGAATTGTGCAGGTTAGTTGTAACGATCTTCTTCGCTCTGCCGCACGTAAGCTGCTGTGCGACGGTTCGAAGCCGCCAGAGGAGGGAAGAGGTCCAAAAAAAAGAAACTCGATGGAGGAAGTGTCTGAGTATCTTATCTTTCAGCTACTTAACGTACTTCAAACAGCAAAAGACAACGGAAAGATCGTTTTTATTGCACGAGCAATGCTACGGGATGGGGTGCAACTTGGTATAAGTGTCTGGAGTATCGTGCTTATTGCGGCAGGGGAGATGCGAGCCGTGGATTTGGCGCTTGCCGCCTTTACACAAGCTAAGGACGCTCTGGGGCATGACGGCAACGCTATGGACCGCCGCGGGAACGAGTACCTACTACAAACTGCCATTCATGCACTCTCCAAGTGTCAGGTTCCTCGCTTTGAGGAAGACTACCTTCGGCCCTGCCAAGAAGGGAAGCTGATGCATTGCACAAATGAGTTCTACTTTTGCGCTCTCCTGCAGCACGCACATAACTCCATGGACCCTGCCACAGGTGCCGAGGAGGTTCTGCGCAGGATGACAGAGAAAGGGGTGCCGCTAACCACACGCATCATCTCCAGGCTGATTAAAATCTACTTACGCATTGAGTCCCCCAAGCTACTGCCACTGTATCAGCATGCCACGCAAGAACTCGGAACATTTAAATTATCCTGGCTTGACGAACTGCTGCTGTGGGCGGATCGACGTCGCTACAACCTCTCCCATGAAGAGCGAAAATACATATTGGATGAGGTGCAACGCGTTCACGGCACGAAGGGCATGCGGGGCGACCTTGGCGGGCTTCGCACACAGTACGCACTTCTGAAGTACGACTACGAACACACCCCACTGGAGGTCTTCGCCTCCACATCGCATCCACCGGAGGCGGAGCCAACCATATTAGACTCACGTGTCCACTTCCTTATTAAAAACCCTCACTGTGTCGTTCACAGCCCAAGGAACAGGGGCGTCAGCCACAATTTTGGGCACACCAGAACACATGTAGATCCCGAGAGAACAAAAACGTTTCTTCGATCCGCTCTACTCACCACTGAAGACGCAGAAACACAAACCGAAGTAATTCAGGCTAAGGAATTTCGCGCGTACATGGTACGCATGCTTGAGGTTCTGCAAGACACTAACAATTGCGCGATATGACGCATCCAATACATCCTCTTTTACTTCACAAGCACGAGTAAGGAACAGAGCCTCACCCCCCGCACCCACACCCACACCAAATTTTTAAAAAAGTACTGCCTCATACCCCTCCTTTCACATACAGACCCACACGTGCAGCTGGCAGCGTTTCCTCGCAGTGGGTGACTCTTCGCTGCACTGAAGGAGAGCGGACGCCAGTGCTTCTCTCTCTCCCCTCCTGCTCTCCGTGTCTCCGTTGCAAGCGCAAGGCAAGAAGTAGGCTCTCCCACATTCGCCAAAAAGGACTCATGTTTTGTTTACGCGTACTGGTGTTGGTTTTGGCTATATTGGCCACCGCCTGTGCTGTGTGTGCCAACATCTTCCCTGTCTTCCAGAAGGAGAAAGAGCTCGTGACGACGAAGCAGACGCTATGGTACAATGAGGTGATCTTGCCCGATGGCAATGAGACCGAGCAGAAGGTGAGTAAGAGCTTGTGCGGGCAGTACAAGCTGTTTTTCCAGGTCTCCGAGGGCACCGCTGTGGGTGCAGCTGGTGTAGGCCTCATCGTTGTGGGCATTGTCTTCGCCCAACTGTTTCTTCACGAGAGAATATGTTGTTTTATTTACGGCGTGTCGCT